AATACTTTGGGAGGGTGAAGCAGGCGGATTACTTGAGCTCAGGTGTGCAAGACCAGCCTGGACAACATGGCAAACCCCAGTCTCTACAAAAAACAAAAACACCCGGGTGTGGTGGCATGTGCCTGTAGTTTAGTCCCAACTGCTTGGGAGGCTGAGGTGGGAGGATTGCTGGAGCCCAGGAGGCAGAGGTTGCAGTGAGCCAAGATTGTGCCACTGCACTCCAGCCTGGGCGACAGAGTGAGACCCTGTTTCAATCTGTCTCTCTCTCTCTCTCTCTCTCTCTCTCTCTCTCACACACACACACACACACACACACACACACACAAAATGAGATAAAACTATGCATTCTCAATATTGTTAAGAATGTTGTTGAAGCCCCAACCCCCAGTACTTCAGTAGGACCCTCAAGAGGTGAAAATTCATCTTGGGAAGCAAAAAAACCATCTTACTCTTTATGTATAAAACACAGATATATATATATATATGTTGTGTGTATATATATATGTTGTATATATACACACACAGTTTGTACAGACATATATTACATACTTTATATTTGTGATACTAAAACTTCATGGGGTGGGGTCAGGTGTGGTGGCTCACACCTGTAATCCCAGCACTTTGGGAAACCAGGGTGGGAAGATCACTTGAGCCCAGGAGTTCAAGACCAGCCTGGGCAACATGATGAGACCCCGTCTCTAAAAACAAAACTTCATCGGGGGAGGTGATTAGGAAAATAACGTCTAAAAAGACTCTCTAGGGGGATGACAAGGAAAGACAAAAGGTTGGGAAACGCTAGACTTGATGATCTAGAAGGGTCCTTGTTCTAGATCCAAATCTAGAAGGTCTGACGGTCTATGAATGTAACTCTGCAGGAGAGTGTTGGTGGGAATAGCAGAGGGAAGAGTGTTCTGGGAATAGGGAACAGCACAAGCTGAAAACCTCAGATGGGAATGAGCCTGGGTTATGGGCTAGACTGTGTGCCCATCTAGCAGCTGAAATAGCTCAGATGGGAGAGTGTTTGACCGAACTATGTCCCCCTAAAATTCATGTGTTGAAGTCCCAACCCCCAGTACCTCGGAATGTGACTGTATTTGAAGGTAAGGTGTTGAAAGAGGTGATGAAGTTTAAATGAGACCATTAGGGTGGGGCCCTAATCCAACAGGACTGGTGTCCTTATAAAAAGAGGAAGAGGCAGCTGGGGTGCATGTGCATAGTGACAAGACCACATGAAGATACAGGAAGAGGCTGAGTATGGTGGCTCACACCTGTAATCCCAGCACTTCGGGAGGCCGAGGCGGGCAGATCACCTGGGGTCAGGAGTTCGAGATCAACCTGGCCAACATGGCGAAACCCTGTCTCTACTAAATATGCAAAAATTAGCCAGGCGTGGTGGCACACGCCTGTAATTCCAGCTACTCGGGAGGTTGAAGCAGGAGAATCTCTTGAACCTGGGAGGTGGAGACTGCAATGAGCCACGCTGTCACCACTGCACTCCAGCCTGGGCAACAGAGCGAGACTCTATCTCAAAAATAATAAAAATAAAAATAAAAGAAGATGCAGGGAGAAAGGGGTCATCTAAGAGCCAAGGAGAGAGTCCTCAGGAGAAACCAATCTTGCCAACACCTCGATCTTGGTCTCCAGCCTCAAGAACTATGAGAAACATTTCTGTGGTTTAAGTCACCCAGGCTGTGGTATTGTGTTATAGCAACTGGCGCAGACTCATACACTTGCCATCTTCTTCTTCTTCTTTATTTTTTTAAATACAGAGACAGGGTCTTGCTATTTTGCCCAGGCTGGTCTCAAACTCCTGGGCTCGAGTGATTCTCCCACCTCAGCCTCCCAAAGTGCTGGGATTATAAGCATGAGCCACTGCACCTGGCTTTTTGTTGTTGCTGTTGTTCTTTCGGGGTGCTTTTTTTTTTTTTATACAGTGTCTCTCATTGCCCAGGCTGGAATGCAGTGGCACCGTCATGGCTCACTGCAGCCTCAACCTCCCAGGCTTAAGTGATCCTCCCACCTCAGCCTCCCAAGTAGCTAGGGCCACGGGTGCACGCCACCACACCTATCTAATTTTTTAAATTTTTTATGTAGAGATGGGATGTCAGTCTGTTGCCCAGGCTGGTCTTGAACTCCTGGGCTCAAAGGATCCTACCACCTTGGCCTCCCAAAATGTTGGGATTACAGATGTGAGCCACCTGGCATCTTTAAAGAATAATCAATACAGGGACATGAGATCAACATAGGTTGTGGGGAGAGCGGGGAGATGCAGATGGTAACAAGCTTCATAGGACTGGGAATAATATTGGGGTTTTTTGTTGTTGTTTTCTTGGCATGGGATGGGGAGCACGGGAGGACTTGAAGCAGGAGTGTGACAAGATCTGCCTTACATTTCTAGCAGGACCTCTCTGGATGCTGGGCAGAGAGCAGATCACTCATGGGCAAAGACAAAAGCAGAGGGACCGTGAGAAGGAGAGAGAAGAGGGTGGCTGGGACCAGGATGGCAGCAGTGGGCATGGTGATGAGTGGGTTGGATTCTAGTACATATTAAGAGTAGAGCTAGTGGTTAGGCGCTGTGGCTCACGCCTGTAATCCCAGCACTTTGGGAGGCCGACGCAGGCAGATCACCTGAGGTCAGGAGTTCGAGACCAGCCTGGCCAACATGGTGAAACCCTGTCTCTACAAAAAAACCCACAAAAATTAGCTGGGTGTGGTGCACACACCTGTAATCCCAGCTACTTGGGAGGCTGAGGCAGGAGAATAACTTGAACCTGGGAGGCAGAGGTTGCAGTGAGCCGAGATCGCACCACTGCACTCCAGCCTGGGGACAAAGCAAGACTCCGTCTTAAAAAAAAAAAAAAAAAGTAGAGCTAGTAGGAATTGGAATTGCCAATGGATTAGAATGTGGGGGGTTGAGAGAAAGAGAAGGGTTATGGATCATTCCAGATGTTTAGCCTGAACAACTTGAAAAGTGTAACTTCGGTTATGTTTGGTCCGGTTTTATTTGAGATGTGTATTAGACATTTACATCGAGGTGTCAAGCAAGTAGTCAGATGTTCAGGGGCGGTCTGAGTAGAGAGAGGCACAAGAAGGATCTGCCCCGTAACCCCATGCTTCCCACCCACAACCCCCGTCACAGAATATTTGCAAACAGCTCTATACTTGTCTGCATTCATTCCCCATTAAACTGAGTGAGAGAAAAAACTTTGCGTGTCATGTTTACCATTGTACGTCCCAGGCAAATGATCTGTTGAATAAATGGGATGATACAACAAGGAGTTAAAATGTACTGAGGCGCAAATGTTCCTAAACATTCCCCTCCCCTTCCTGAGCCAGATAATGTTATCTTTTCCAGCAGACTGTTCAGGTCCCCACCCTTTCCTGTCCCTATCAGACTGATCAGGGACATTTGTGGGCAGAGGAAGATGGGCCAAGAGAGCCCGGAACAAGAGCTAGAGGGCTCATGAGAGAGGTTTAGACAGTCTATAAAATGCAGAGCCAGGACAAAATAAGGAGGGGAGGAGAAAAAGAGAGAGAGAGAGAAGAGACCAATCCTGCCACTCAGTCTGCAAGTGGAACAGGGGTTTCTTTGTTTTATAGGCTTTCTTTGGAGCATGGAGGGTGTTAAATGAGAGACTCCAGGGTACTGTGTGTGTGTGAGAGAATTGGGAAGAGAGAAGAAAGGTATGAGAAGTTTTGCTAAGGGAGAGGACTGACTCTGCATGCGTGGCTTTGAAAACCACAAGCTAGGAACAATTTATCAAGAAGACATAACAATCATAAATGTAAGTACACCTAACAACAGAGCATCACAATTCCTGAAAGAAAAAAAAAAAAAAAACAGAAAGCAAAAATAGACAAAACTAAGGGAAGAAACAGATAAATCCAAATAACCAATAGTTCTATGTAATTCACTAAAATTGATTTTTTAAAAACAGCTGCAGTGAACTATGATTGTGTCATTATACTCCTGCCTGGGCGACAGAATGAGATCCTGTCTCAAAAATAAATAAATAAATCAGCAAGGATATAGAAAAATCGAATCAACACTGTTAACAAATTTGATCTGACATTTACAGAACATTGTACCCAACAACTGCAGAATATAAAGAGTTTTCAAGTGTACTACCAAGCCTATCAAAGATAGACCATGTGGCCAGGAACAGTGGCTCGGGCCTGTAATCCTAGCACTTTGGGAGGCTGAGGCAGGCAGATGTCCTGAGCTCAGGAGTTCAAGACAAGCTTGGGCAACATGGCAAACCCTGTCTCTACCAAAAATACAAAAAGTACAGGGCGTGGTGGCGCGCACCTGTAATCTCAGCTGCCTGTGGGGCTGAGGCAGCAGAATTGCTTGAACCTGGGAGGTCGAGGCTGCGGTGAGACAAGATTGCACCACTGCACTCCAGCCTAAGTGACAGAGTGAAACCTTGTCTCATTAAAAACAACAACAACAACAACAAACAAAAAAATAAAATAAAAATAAAAAGACCAAGTGCTGGGCCATAAAGTAAGTCTTAATTCATTTCAGAAGACTTAAATCTTACAGAGTATGTTCTCCAACCACACTGGTCTTTAAAAGCACACCAATAACAATAAAACACCTAGAAAATCCTAAAGTATTTGGAATTTAAATAACATCCCTTTAAATAACCCAGAGGTCAAAAGAAAAAAAAAAATCACAAGTGAAACTAGAAAATATCAAACTGAACAATAATGAAAACACATCAAATTAATATTTATGGGAAGCAGCTAAAGCCATACTTGGAGGGAAATTTATAGCTAAGTGACTGTACTGGGTGGGGGAAAGAGAGGCCTAAAATTAATGACCCAAAAGTCTGCCTTAAAAAAAAGCTAGAAAAACTAAGAACAAGGTAGGCCTGAAATAAATAAAAGAAAGGAAATACTGAAACCGAAGAGTAAAACTCAGTGGAATAATGATAGAGAAAACAAGGCTAAAAAACTGGTTCTTCGAAAAGATTAATAAAATTGAAAAGCACAGCTAATACCGGACTTTCTATTTTTTATTCGTTTGAGTTTTTTGTGCTGACTGTGCATGGACAGGTTCACATGGGTGCTGGGTTCACACGGGTTACAGGAGGGGGCAGAAGGAGAGAGCAGGCCACAGCCTCCAGAGCGCCTCCATTGCAGACAAGCATGCATGCGCTCCTCCGTGCCGTGCCCCTGCTCACTGCTGGATCCTGCGGATGCTCTGCACCTGGAAGGTCTGGGCGTGAGAGCCCCACTCCCGGAAATGCTTGTAGTCACCGGAATGGTGATCGCTTTCCAGCACATACTGAAATCCTCGGTAGCCCGGAAACTGGGAGCAAACCCAACTGGAAAAGAGAAAAGGCAGACGGTTACTCTACAGAGACACCAGCACGATGATCAACACAGGGGCAAAGGGATCCATGCACACGCACAATTCTAGCCATCCTAGCCTTTCTTCAGTGCTCACAATGTGCCATGCTCTCTCCCCTACCACAGGGCCTTTGATCGTGCCATTCCCTTTGCCAGAAGCACCATGCCAGCCCGTCTTTTCCTAGACAAGTTGTATTTGTCCTTCCTGGCTCAGCTTAAATATGAGGGCAATCTGACTCATTCCCCAAATCAGGCCACAGTCCCTTACTATACCTTTGTAGCACTCATGTAATTCGATAGTTTTCAAATTATTTGTAAAATATCAGCCTCCCCTGCCAGCAGGTAAGCTCATGAGTGTAGGAACGTGTATGCTTTGTTCATCGTTATCTCCACCTGCCTAAATTTATAAAAGTCTAGCACAGAAGAAGGGGGTCCCTAAATATTTGCTGAATAAAAGAACAAGTGAAGGAATGGGAAGTCTTGTTCTTTCCCCGTTCCCCCTCCTTCCTTATCCAGAGGCACTTCCAAGAAAAAAGCTATCACTTCAGTCCATTGATTTCTTTTTTTCTTTCTTTCTTTCTTTCTTTTTTTGAGGCAGAGTCTCGCTCTGTTACCCACACCGGAGTGCAGTGGGGCGACCTCGGCTCACTGCAACCTTTGCCTCCTGGGTTCAAGTAATTCTGCCTCATCCTAGTGGCTGGGACTACAGGCATAGCCACCGGGCTAATTTTTTGTATTTTTAGTAGAGACGGGGTTTCACCATGTTGGCCAGGCTGGTCTCGAACTCCTGACCTCAGGTGATCCGCCCACCTCAGCTTCCCAAAGTGCTGGGATTATAGGCGTGAGCCACCGCGTCTGGCCCAATTCATTGATTTCTACTCTGTTCAGGACAAAGATTGGTGTCTGGTTTTCCAAGCCTCCATTTCCCTTTCTGTAAAAGAGGAAGTGAACTCAAGAATCACAAGGGGTCCCTCTTACTCTAAAATAACATGATTCTTTGGTGGTTCCTGAGAAAACCAAAGCAAAAAAAAAAAAAAAAGAAAAAAAGAAAAAAAAAAAGATGAAAAACCCTACCTCCCATCTTTGCTCCCTGCCTACCAGGAGCCAAGGGGCACCTCAGAAAGTGGCTCTGATGTCCTCCCTAAATAAGAATCTCACACCTTAGCCTTCACTTGCCACCTCCTGGGTGGAAAGGAAAGGACCAGTCAATGCTGAGTTTGAAGCTGGATTGTTACCTACCTGCTGATGGACTTTGAGCAGCTTGCTTGAGCCACACCTGTTTCTTTATGGCGGGGGCATTCATTCTCCCTTCTCCTGGCCATAGACCCTGTTGGCTCTGCTCTCAGCCAAGTTGAGAAAACGAGGCTGAATCTAGCAATGACCACATGACCAAACCTAGCCAATCAGAACACCCCATTCCTATGCGCATGGTGATTGGTTCAGAGTTGAGCACAGGACCCAGCTGGACCAATGAGCACCTTTCTTGGAACCTTTATTAATAGAGTCACTGAGCCCGGACACTGTCTTTCCCTATGGCTGGATGTAAAGATGAAGCTCTTTACATCCTCGTCTAAGACTATAGCCACACACAGGCAGGCAGGGCAACAGGTGGGGGGTTGTGGAGGGGAGACAGATACCTGCTGTAGCACCTGGATCCAGTTGCGCTTGAAGCTAATTACAGGGGCCGATAAATATCTTTTGGGCTTAAACCCAGTTTGATCTGGGTTTCAATCCCTCAAATTCTGCCCGATACCTCCCTGTGCCTCAGTGTTCTCCTCTGGAATGTGGGCATCAGAGCACAAAAGTCCCCAGCACACAGTTTTCACAGGAGGTACCCCTACCCCTCCCAATATTCCTTCCCTTGCCAGGCAGAGACTTGGATACACTTACGCCCCAGAGTGGACGTGGAAGGACCCTACTTCATTGCCTTCCCATCCCATGGCCTGGAGGGAAGGATAGTCATCGCTCAGCTCTCCTTTCTTGCCCAGGAAGTTCTCTTGCTCAAAGATTGTCAGCCTCGAGTCACGGTGGTTCTACAGGAACAGGAAACACAGTCAGACCACCAGGCTCCCAGTTGGAAACCCAGGAGCCTCTCCTGGCCTCCACACTCCCTGCCCTGCCCTTGTCTCCCAAATCAACCTTCCTTGCAAACCTTTTGGAAGGGCAATAAGGCAACAGGTACCAGAAACCTTACCATTTGCCCTTCCAGAAATTTCCACAAAGAAAATAATCATGGAATAAATAGGCTGCAAGAATGTTCGTCATTAACAGGTTTTTCAAAAACAAACAAACAAAAAGGAATCAACCTTTACGTCCGAAATTGGGGATCCAGTGGTAAGCTGAGGTATTACACTGTGGTTAAGAAAAAGGGTGTAGAGGCCGGGCACCGTGGCTCACGCCTATATTCCCAGCATTTTGGGAGGCCGAGGTGGGCGGATCACCTGAGGTCAGGAGTTCAAGACCAGCCCAACGAATATGGTGAAACCCTGTCTCTACTAAATACAGAAAATTAGTTAAGTGTGGTGGCGCATGGCTGTAATCTCAGCTACTTGGGAGACTGAGGCAGGAGAATCGCTTGAACCTGGGAGGCAGAGGTTGCAGTGAGCCAAGATTGTGCCATTGCACTCCAGCCTGGACAACAAAAGCGAAAACTCCATCAAAAAGAGAGAGAGAGAGAGAGAGAGAGAGAGAGAGAGAGGGAGAGAGAGAGAAAGGAAGGGTAGAGATATCATCTCAAATCCTTCCTACCAGGAAGCAGCTGCCACTTACCAACTGATTGAGGTTAGACAGGATTTCTGAGCCTCTGTTCCTGTATCTATAAAATGAAACTAACCATACCCATTTTTCAGGGTTCTTTTGAGAACTAAATGAATTCACAAGTTGGAAACTGCTGGGAATGAGGGATTGTATCTGTTGCAGCCCACCACAGGTCCCCATATTAGCACAATATCTAGACTGTTTGCAGAGTAAATGAACAAATGGACTTATGCACAAAACGGAATACTAGGGAGCTATGAAAAATGATGGAAGTGAGATTTAATCACCTAGACTGATGATTGTGATCCATTTGCTCTGTGAGAAAAGCTAGTTTCCAAGCCTTAGACTCATTATGATTCCATTTTTGTGGCAAAATTATGTTTGCAGTATAGATAAAATATATAGATTATATAGATATAGGTGTAGATGTTTATCTGGATGTGTATATACATAGAGACATAAATGTATAGGTTGAACATTCCTAACCTAAACATCCGAAATCCAAAATGCTCTAAAATCTAAAAGTTTTTGAGTGATGACATGACACTCAAAGAATGCTCACTGGAGTATTTCAGATTTTGGACTTTTGGATTCAGGCTGCTCAACCATAGGTATTATAAATATTATAAAATCTGGGGAAAATATTCACAATCCAAAACACTTCTGGTCCAAGCATTTCAGATAAGGGATAATCCATCCTGACCATACCAGGATTTTCCTTCAGAATTTTGGATGGTAAATATGGTGCCTTATATCATTTTAAATTAATAAGAGTTGAAAAATAAAATACACTTTTTTTTTTTTTTTTTTTTTTTGAGACAGAGTCTCACTCTGGTGCCCAGGCTGGAGTGCAGTGGTGCGATCTCAGCTCACTGCAACCTCCATCTCCTGGGTTCAAGTCATTCTCTTGCCTTAGCCTCCTGAGTTGCTGGGACTACAGGCATGTACCACCACGCCCAGCTAATTTTTTTGTATTTTTAGTAGAGATGGGGTTTTACCATGTTGGCCAGGCTGATCTTGAACTCCTGGCCTCAAGTGATCCACCCGCCTGGGCCTCCTAAAGTGCTGGGATTGTAGGTGTGAGCCACTGTGCCCGGCCTAAAATATACCTTTCTGAGCCTCAATTTTTTCATTGGTGAGATGGGAATAATAATGCTCACCTCCACCCACACTCCAAAAACAGCAATAAAATGTAAAATCAGGAGCATTGATATTGAATTAGGAGCAAGAAAGGAAACCCTTCATCCCCACTGGGCCCTACCATCCCTGGTACCCAACTTCTCTCAGGGTCCCTGAATCACAAAAAAAAAAAAAAAAAAAAAAGGGCACAAAGCTGGCAGGGGCTCCTGTCACAACCAGGGCTGCTGTGAGCAGAGAGTTTAAGGTGGGCTCTGGCCAGATGCTATAAACAACATTGGTACTATTGCCCCATTTCAAGATGAAGAAACTAAGGCCAAGAGAGGAAAGAGACTAACAGCCCTTGTCACACAGCCTGAAGTGGCGACATGAGAATTTCAGCTCTGGGACATTGGATTCCCAAGTGCCCACGTGAGGGGCTCGGGCCTCCCAGGGACGCAGAAGTGGTAGAACTCACAGCACAGGACACAGGCCGGAAGGAGGTGAGCCTCTCAGAGGGGTAGGCCGTGTTGCCACCCCAGGCATCCCAGCTCGGGTATTCGCCCCGTTCCAGAACGTACTGCTGCCCTTGGAAGCCAGCATGCTCGAAGCCCACCCACCTGCAGACAGAGGGTAGAGCGTGCAGGAGGTAAGCGTCCCCTTCACCCTGCATTCTAGACCAGCAAATGGGTCTAGAATGGTCACAATCACAACCATTCAGGGGTGATTGTGCCCCCAGGAAACACTTGACAATGCCTGGAGACATTTTTGGTTGTCACGACTAGGGGAGGGGCTTGGAAGGCCATCTATCAGGTGGAGGCCAGGGATGCTGCTAAACATCCCATAATACACAGGCCAGCCTCCACTGCAAAGGATGATCCAGCCAGAAACATCAGCAGTGCCGAAGTTGAGGGACCCGGCTCTAGACCTGACTTGCTGTGTGTCCCATAGGTAGGAAAACTGCTTCACACAGGTGCCCTGACAACCTTGCTCCTCTGTCAGTTTCCACAGAGGCCGCAGAGTCAAAGCTGATCACAGACTGACCTCACTTTGGTGGAATTCCCTGTGATCCTGCCAGGGTGTCGGAGACGGGCAGTTTTGTGAGGAGCTACTGCAAGGCCATCTCTCATATTTCTCCCTCTCTTGTGGGAGGCTGCCACGAGGCAGTTCCTCATCTGCCTGTCTGGCCACTCTGAGACGTGGGGGTTTCCACTTCGCCACCCCACAGGTGACAATAGCAAGCTATCGTTGAAGCATGGAAGCAGTTCTTCAGCCACGGGGTTCCCACCATTCCTGCTGCCTGTCATTCGGCCCCCTTTGTTTTGGTGTCATCCCGTAGGACAAGGGACACAGGAAGCTGACACCATGCGCACCTTGCCTTTGCTGTCTGTGTAAGTAATAAACTGTCTGAATCTATCCGAGCTCATTATCTGCTTACTGGCTGAGTCTGTCAGCCTGCCGGACATACCCCTAGAAAGCCTCTGTTCCCATCTGACCCCCATTCCCCACCTGCACAAATCAGAAGCTAAAAGAGCATTTACTGAAGCATGAGATGTGTAAAAATCACCCAAGATGACCTCAGGTGGCACTCACAGGCATAGGATTAAGTAACTCCAAATCTCCTATCTACTTTCCAACCTTCTACAACCTTCTATCGAATATGGTAACTACTGGCCACATCTCCTAGCTACTTTCCAACCTTCTAGAACCTTCTATCCAATATGGTTGCTACTGGCCACATCTCCTTTCTGTCTACTTTCCAACCTTCCAGAAATTTTTTCCAATATGGCAGCTACTGGTCACATCTCCTTTCTATTTACTTTCCAGCCTGCTAGAACCTTCTACCCAATATGGTAGCTACTAGCCACATCTTTCTAACTACTTTCCAACCTTCTAGAGCCTTCTATCCAATATGGTAGCTGCTGGCCATATCTCCTTTCTACTTGCTTTCCAACCTTCTAGAACCTTCTATCTAATATGGTAGCTACTGGCCACATGTAGTTAATTAAATTTAAACTTAAATAAATTAAGATTAAATAAAACATTCCGTTTTCTAGTCATGCTGGCTACCTTTCAAAATCCTTAATGGTCACATCTGGCCAGTGGCTCTGAAATGGATGGTGCAGATGTAGAACATCTCCATCATTGCAGACAGTTCCACTGAATGGCACTGGTCTAGAAAGTCTTGGTGTGTTATTATTGTGTCCTTAACACCTCTCTACATCTCACAATCTCTCTCTCCCTCACTCTCTTTTTTGTTTTTTAATTTTGGTTTTTTGGGTTTTTTTGTTTTGTTTTGTTTTGTTTTTACCAATAATGATCGGGCCACATGCTTAGCAACAAGACTGTTTAGCTAAAAATTAATAGCATTAAAACATTATATTCATTTTTATAGTTACCTTCTACTTTTGGTGAGTGATGTTGGCTTTCAATTTATGGCTAGGAGGGACATTTTTAGATCCAACCCTGGATTCTAAGGATCTTCTCCCGCAGAGCTGCCTCATCCAGTGGGCAGGGTCTGGGTAAATGACACCCTCCCACTGTTGGGCTGTGCACAACCTGCAGAACCTTACATGGCAGTCCTGCACACTCCTCAGCGCTTCAGGAGGGCACACTAGGAAAAGAGGACCTAGAATAGCTAAAAGTCCTAGCACCCATCTCTAGGTCCCTTCCTGTCCACCCTCTACCCCAACTCAGTATCCCCCTAGACTCACGCTCCACTCAGCACTTTCAAAGATCGCACAGTCTCGAAGCCAAGCTCCAGCACACTGGGGCACTCGGCCGTGAACTCGTGCCGCCGGCCCTGGAAGCCGTCCTCATCCCACACCACCATCTGTGCCAGGAAAAAAAAAAGAAGGTGGAGATCCGCATCAGAGTCCCATGGAGGGTGAGGGGTTGGGGGCTCACCCCAGGATCTGGCAGGTAAAGCAGAGATTGCAAACTCAGATGCCTCCAGGAGCCAGGCAGGCAAGGACAGTGAGGACTGTGAGACACTAGAGATCACAGGTGCCAGGTAGATGAGTGGCCTCTTCCCAGTGCCACCAATGGTTGCCAAGTGGGAATGCAAGCCAGACCTTCCAATTTCTCAATACGATCCCTAGATCTGGACTTTTATGTGGTTCTTCTAGGCTTTTAAAGGCTGATGATAAATCCAAAAGCTTTATAAAACAAACACACACACACACAGATGGTCAAAGAAATCATGCCCAAAGACTGCAATCTCTGCCAAAGAGTGTAACAGGTCAACTTTGGGAACCAGAAGACCCAAGTTCACATTCGACCTCCCTGTATGTGACATACAAGTCCCTTCTCGACTCTGAGTCTTGATTGCACCTCTGTGAAATAAGCATTTATAATACCCTCCTCCTAGGATTTGTGGGGACTTGAACCCTCCCCACACCTCCTGGACACCCCCTCCCCATGCCTCTTCCTACCTTCCAGTGTCCCGCTGACTTGGTGCATTGCAGGGTCATCGTGGCCCCTTCCTACGGAAGAGAAGAACATCATAATCGTCCACCCTGTCCCTCTGCTGTCCTCTTTATGTAGATGGCTGGCTTAGACCTGGTCAGGATCCACATGGGGAGTCCAGGAGTGACTGGGCTAGGGGCAATGCGTGGCTTTGGCCTGTCCCTCTCCTGTCCTTTCCATCTGTCACCAGTGCCATCTTCCATCCTATCCCCATCTCAAAACTCACCCTTGCTTGGTCTCATTGACTCTAAGCCCCACTCTGTATTCTCTTATCTGCTTGTTATGGGAAAATTTCTGTGGCTGTTGGTGGGTGGGTACATCACCCCAGCAAGTGCTAAAATGAGAGTCCTTCCAAAGACAACGCCTAGCTCAAAGAGGTACCTCTAATGGTGGAAATTCAGGCAACAGGGCTACAGGAATAATTTTGTTTTTAAATGAGGGAAGCAGGTGCTGGTCTTGATGGTTGGGGCTCATCATTGGTTAGGGTGGGGATGGCATTCAGGATGACACAGTGACATCCCTAGGACTGGGGACCTGGGCTCCTCGCCTCCCAGGATGCTCACTCAGAACTCTGATCCCATCCCTCCTCCAAACCTGGGACTTACCGAGATAGGCCCAGGGAACATGTCAGATCTGAGACCAGCCGAGGTCAGGCTCTTATAGGCAGGGAGGGAAGAGGGGCCCCTGGGAGACAAAGCCCCGACTCAGCAACTGGGCTGCAGAAACAAAAGCCAGCCCTGGCTGAAGAGCCAATGGCAAGCCGTCAGCAGCTCTGGCTTTAGCAGGGAGGGAATGGACCAGATCACCACCCCCAGGGATCAGCCACGAAGAAGCAGAGAGGTGGAATATTGGCCCTCATTAGCCCCACGAGGTTCCTGACTAGACCAGGAGAATGAACACTAGAAGAGGAGTCCAGAAGCATCCTTCCTAGCTATGTGAGCTTGAGCAAGCCATTTCCCCTCAATTTCTGCCTATAAAATGCGGCAGAAACAAACTATACCACGGAGTTGTTGTGAGGTTACATAACACACCTGGTACAGAGTAAACGTTCAGGAAATGTCTATTCCTTTCCTCCTCTCATTCCCCTTTCTCTTCCAGTTGAAGCAATCAGGATAGGCTGCCTGTTGGAGGAGGCATTTGAACTAGACTCTGAAGGATGAAGAAGATATGTACAGAGTTAGATGGAAGCAGAGGCAGTCTAAGAAAAGTTCAGAGGTGGGAACTTGGGGCACATGTACAAGAAAGAGCTGGTAGCCCAACTGGCCTGGAGCTCAGGGGACCTGAAGGGAAGTGAGGCAGGAGAAGGGGTCTAGGCCAGGGCCTGCCAAGTCCACAAAGCCCGAAGATGAACCCAGATGGCTCTGTGGGCAGCATAAAGGAGCTGTTAGTTGCAAACCTGCTTTGCAAACTGTAGCACACTTGCCAAATATCCAGGGCTTGTACAATTTGCTGTGTGCCTCTTGAATTGGCCTATGAGGGGCCTCTTACAGCATAGGAAAAGAGCATGACTGGAAACCAGATCATCTGAGATGAAATCCAGCCCTGCTTCTTGTACCATCTGGGTAACCTGAAGGATATCTGAGTCCTGCTCATGACCTGTAAAGTGGCCACACCAGTTTCCTTTTAAGAAGGTGAAATGCAGCTCTATCACATGCATGACTTTAGGCCAGGCACGGTGGCTCATGCCTGTAATCCCAGCACTTTGGGAAGTCAAGGTGGGTGGATCAACTGAGGTCAGGAGTTCAAGACCAGGCTGGCCAACATGGTGAAACCCCGTCTCTACTAAAAATACAAAAATTAGCCGGGAGTAGTGGCAGGTGCCTGTAATCCCAGCTACTAGGGAGACTGAGGCAGGCGAATTGCCTGAACCTGGGAGGCAGGGGTTGCAGTGAGCCAAGATCACACCATTGCACTCGAGCCTGGGTGACAGAGCAAGACTCTGTCTCAAAAAAAAAAAAAAAAAAAAAAGGGGGGGTGGAATACATGACTTTGACGAAGTGTTGGCATGAAAATTAAAGGTTAAGAATGCAACCTCTACAGTCAGACTGCCTGGGTTTGCATCCCACTCTTGCTGGCTGGGTAACTTTAGGCATGTTACTTAATCTCTCTGAGTCTCAGTTTACTTGTGTATCAAATGGGTGTAACAAGGTAAGTTCTGGTTAGCCTAAGAGACGGGAGTATTGTGAGGATAAATGTGAATTGCACGTGAACAGCAGCTGGAATTGCTCCTGCAACATAAAAAATTACGGTTATTTCCATCATCTTCATCGTCATCATTGCTAATAATAACGATGATTACTATTAATTATTGATCAAAAAAGCAGGAGTACATAGGTTTTAAGAGCCTGGGTTCATGAGTAAAGAAGATGTGAGTTCCAAGTTCATTTTGCATTTCCATTTGTATGAGAAAGTGAGCTGAGAGAGAGGAAGGAAAGGGAGTTGCTTCAGTTTCCTTATCTGTAATTGGGGTTAATCCTAAAACTTCATCCGTATACTGAGGAGTATAGGAAAATGCAAAAAAAAAAAGAAAAGAAAAAGAAAAGAAATTGACTCCATAAGACAGGGCAAAAAATAAAAAGATATAATGAAGGATACAATAACAATAATAATAAATGGTCTGAGTGGAGCCACCAGCATGGTGAGCCATCCCCCTTCTCTGCCCCTACCCTCTGGCAGACAGCCCATTCCTGGGGGGGGTTGGGGGGGGCACAGAACTGCCCCAGATGACCTGGCTTTGAAGCCTAGACTGGTGGGTGGCCCCCACCACAGGCATCTTGGCCCCAGTTCCAGTGGCTACCCCATCTTGCAGTTCCTGCCCACACCCCACCCACCAAGTCTTGGCCCAGGATGAAAGGCCAAGGAGGGGCTGGGAAGCGAGGGGGTGCTGGGTGGGTGGAGCGACAGAGGCAAAGCTGGCTCCAGGCCAGGGACAGCTCAAGACAGAGCTGGGTTCCATGGGGAGCCCAGACCCCCAAAGAAGAGGCAGGAGCCTATCCAGAAGTCCCCTCCATACATCCTGCCTGGGACTGGGGAGTCGACTGCAGATGACCTAGCTGAGCAGCTCCCCAGGCTCCCTCTGACCCCAGCTCTACTGTGAGCTCCCACCGTGTGACTGCTGAAGTCACTTGTTCCAACTGGGCCTCGGTTTCTCCATTTGTGAAATGACAGGATTGGGCCCTGTGATTTCTGGCATCTGTTTCACCGTCCTGAAGCTTGATTGCCCCACCTTGACCTCTGTCTCTCCGTCTCTTGCTCCTTCATTGTCCATGTCCCTTGTGCCTCTGTGTCTCTGTCTCCACCTCTCTGTGTTACTTCTCTCTATCTGCCTCCCTACTTCTCTCTCTTTGCCTTGGTTTCCCTATCTCCCCTGTACCCCTACCTTTTGTTCCAATCCATCAGAACCACCATTTAGTCACCAGATATTGACTGAGAACCCACTATGTGCTAAGCCCTACCTAGCCAGGCCCAGCTAGGTGCTGGGGCCAGTGGTGAACAAGATGTGGTGGGCATCTGGGGCTTCCCAGGGCGGGAGGCTCTGAGACAGGCAGTCATATTCCTGGCCACCAGCACTGTCCCCCGGGTAAGATAACGTGGCCTGGGTAGAGGCAGGGAAGGGGGGTGGCAGGAGGGGGTCACTATCAATAAGTCAGGAAAGGATGGGGTCCAATGTGTGTAAGAGAAAGAGACCCAGGTCTCCAATATCCAACCCAGCTGAGCACAGTGAGACTCGGCCCATTCCCACCCCTACCTACAAAGAGGAAGTCAGGCCAGGGGGCCTCAGGCCAAGGTCAAGGCTGGACAGCAGGAGAAGGAAGCACACAGGCCCAGAGCTGGCTGGCCTGCACTGTCTCTGACCTCTCTGTGCCTTTGCTTTCCTCTTCTGTGAAATGGGCATAATGAAAGCACCAAATAAGGCAGATTGTCCTGGGGACTGACCGAGATAGCACGGGTTCAGCCTACAGTAAGCACTCTGTAAAAAACGCTCTCCATATCAAACCCACATCTGCCTTTACAAAATGCTTCTATGCTCGTTGTCACCATCTTTTCTGTGCAGCATCCAATAGGGACACGTGCCCACCTTATAATTGCAGACACAGAGGTCCCCCTAGGGGTAGAGACCTACCAAAAGTCACACAGCGTATAGTGGCTGAGTCAGGATTCAAACTCTGGTCTCCTGCCTCCCAGGATCTCCCCTTTTCCCTGCCCCATGTTGGCAGCCAGCAGGGACCCTTTTGGGGACCCATTCCCTGGCTGGGGTTATCGAGAGAGGAGTCAGGGTAGGGTTGGAAGGTGAAGCTGCTGTGGCCAGGGTTTCTGCTGTGTGTGCTGGTCTCACAAAGGAAAGTGCTGCTGTCTGCAGTGATCCAGGCGAGGTCGGGGCCCCAGTCCCCCACTCCCTGCCCGGGTCTGCTGAGCCAGCTTCCCCTTTGTGCCACAGACTATAGGGCCTGATGTCTGCCAGACTATAAAATGGGGGGTCGGCCTCTAGTCACCCATAGCACCTGCCTGCCTGCCTGTCCTCCAGCAGGAAGTAGCAAGTCCCCAGGTAAGAGGGAACCCACAGCACAGCTGAGAGCTGAAGGGGAGGGGAAGAGAAAAGGGAGGCAGAGAGAGGGAGGCAGAGATAGCAGTGCCATGAGAGTCAGAGAGGCAGGGCCACGGAAATAAAGACAGAGAGAAGTGGAGAGAGGAAGAAAGGGACGGAGAAGGAGAGGGGGGAGAGAGAGAGATAGAGAAATAAACAGAGAGAGAAGTAAAGATAATTAAAAAGAACAGATAAAGAGATAAGCAAAGAGACAATGAGGGTGAGATAGTGGGGGAGAGAGGAACAGAGAGGGAGAGAGAGGAACAGACAGGAAGAGAGGCAGAAAGAGGGAGCGAAGTAAGAAACAGATAGAGAGGCAGAGAGGGAGGAGAGGAGGAACAGAGGGAAAGGGTGAAGTGGGGGGAGAGAGAGAATGAGAACATCTCCAGGAAGGTATGAGTCCAGCTGCCAGCCCTGGGGGAGTGTTTAAAGCCACAGATGTGGCTCAGATGTCTGGCCTCCCCGCTGGTGAACAGGACACCCCAGAATATGCACAGCCTTCCTGGAGGAGGCTGGGGGAGGGATCTGCTTATCCCAAATAGCTCCTCCTTACAGAATGTGTTCGGGAATCAGCTTGACCAGAGGGTCTTAATCTGTGCTAGCAGGGGGTCCTCAAATCCCTTAACACTGTCTCCAAAGTTAAAGGGGGCATTATTTTTGTCTGAGGACAAAGTTGGGGTATTCATCAAACATTCAAAGGAGTCCATGACCCCAAAGCAACAAGGAACCACTGGAATCGACCAACACCCTCTCCACCCAACGCCTACCCAGCCACAGTCCTCATTTTCAGAATCCTCGACATGCAGTAAATACATCCTCTTGGATCCTCCCGTATGCCCCAGTCTCCGGCCTGTATTTGCACCCATACACCAACCCCCCAGAGAATCCCAGAGGAAGTGGACTAGGAAAGGAGTTGGGAGCATGCATTCATTCCTTCTCTGAACAAACGTTAATTGGGCATCTCCTATGTGCCAGGTGCAGGGCAAGTGTTAGGGATGGATGGTGAATAAAGCAGATTAAGCAAACGGCAGAGCACTTTAAGAGCCCAGTTGCTGGCTCTGTTTGCTTGAGTCGAAATCAGAACCCTACCCCTTAGTAGCTGTTTGGGCCTGAGCTGGGCCCCTTCCTTCTCCAGCCCCCTGCTGCTCAGGGGGGATCATGATAGCAGCTACTCCATGGGGTTAGGGTCATGGTCATGGTCAGATGGGTTAATTAATGTATGTCACAGTGCCTGGCATACCTTAAGTACTCTGAAGTGGGACCTCTTGTTATTACTGTGGGGAGGCAAATTGAAGTTGTACAAGCAAATCAGTGTGATAAGCGGTGTGGAAAATTGCAGGGGCCTAAGGAAAGACC